TACTTACTTCAGGGTGTTTTTGTAAAGACACTTGCAAAAGCCTGGATTTAAGATACTGATAATATCTTGATGATAAAAGCCACAAGACATTACAAGAAAGCAATATAGCAGATACATGCACAACATTAATTTTAAATGGCAGGTAATGCTAATGTGCATACTTTAGTGTACAGGTCAGCAGTGACAGTGTACAACTCTGAAACTGTTTTGGAGTGTGTGTCCTAATTTTAAACTACAGACAGCTGTTTTGTCTGAGGCTTTATGGTGTGGAAGAGAACCTGTTCTGAAGCTCATGCTTCTGTAGCTCTAACAGGAAAAGACAGTTTGTAACACAATTTCTGATTGCAACATGAAACATCCTCCCTTTAAAAAAAAAAAAAATAATTATTAAACTACACTTGTGTTTGGGGGGAATTATCATTTGCTACGCTGAACTTAATTAAAAAGATCTGTTTTCATTTACTCTTTAATTGATGATTTGCTTTTATAAAACATAATGTGTGTGAATAGTGTGTTGTGAAAACTTTTTTGATTTTTTGAATTTTTTTTAAACCTTAACAGTACATGAGTGGAACGGTACATTTTTATTTCCCAGTCCTCTTCAGGGAATTCTTAAAATTAGTAGTATACTTGTACTGTTAACTTTTCCCACAGATTCAGATAACCAGGCACCAAGAACTGAATATTCTTCCTTTTTTTTTAAAAAAACCCCAAACTTTAATTGAATTAAAAAGGTGGAATGAAGCACTTCAGCTTAAAGAATTTATTTTAGAGAGCTAATCTCCATGTAATGTGGTGTACTCCAAGTCTTAAATAAAAATAGCCAGTAAACATCAAGTGTAATTAAATTGATTTTAAATCCATTTAAACTTGACCAAGATGGGGGGAAGGATTATGGGAACATGGTCTGAATCTTGACCTTGTAAGAATATTTGATGCAGCATTCAAGCCGTTTGTAATTTTTGGCTTGTAACAGCATGTATCAAATATCTTAAATGTGTTCTTGCTATCAAATACATAAAAATATATAGGCTCAATTTATATGGACTATGTTTCTAAAGGTTTCAGACTTGCTATTGTTCACTTCAGCAAGTGCAGGCAATTAAACTAGATCTCTGCTTCTGAAAGGATGCACTGAAAGCTTGTACCTTCTGGTATAAGTGCCTTACAATCTGTATGTATATTCTGTCTGATGCTCCTGCTCACCTGAGAGTAAACAACAGGATTTTGCAGGTGTGGTTAAATTCTGAATGTTTAGTATCACTCCAGTGTGTGCCTTCACAGTACATATCTCCAAACTGCAGCGTGTATAATGAAACCAAATTGATAGCTTTGGGGCGGGGGGGTGGAGGGCTGCTTGAACTAAAGTTAATATTATTAACAATAAAAACAAGGCTGAAGAGTTAAGAAGATACTATCACTGCCCCATATTTAGTGTGCATTGCCTACGCTGTCTGTAGTGTGTCACTTCTGGAATGACAGCCTACGTTCAGATCTCTTCCTCTGATAAAACTGTGGGATTCATTACCATGAGTAACAAAGGAGTCTGACATGTGGCAATACTGGTGTAGTAAGTGGTCTGTATAACAGCCTGAAGCTTTCCTCGTGCTTCATTAAATAAGAAAATAATAAAGCTATCTTTCTCTTGGGGGGAAGCTATTAAAGTTTTGAAGAATTAAATTATTCAAAGCAGCAACTCAACTTGAATAAAGGCTATTCACCGCACACAGAATGACTGGTTGGGCCTGGTTGCTTTCTTTTCCCCTGTCAAATCCCTGACCTCTGGCCTTGCATTCGAAAGGTTGTCTTGCTTGCAGGACTTCTAAGTTGCTTTCTGAGTACGCTTTCCTGTAAGAGTCATAAAGATCAGATAAATAAGGCTTTAAAGCTTTTTGTAGCTTCTTCAAGGAAGGAATTGAAAGTCCCTTGAAAGTTAGAGACTGTAAATAAACCTCTGAGAAAGTCTTTTGTAGAGAAGAATCTCTTCTATCAACACAGAGGAAAATTTGATAATGAAATAGATCCTTTATAGTGCTCTGTCTGCTACATGGCATCCCAAAATTCAGGCTAAGCTGGAGATAACAGCTTCCTGGCCTTCAGAAATACAACTGAGGTCAGGCTTACATGAAGCTGAATTCTTTGTTTTCTAGGGTTTTAAAGAAATCTGTTAAAAACTTATCTAAATCTGGCTTCTTGTTTGACTTTTCTAAGCTAGACTAGGTTTGTTCACCATGAGGCATGTTCTAGGGATGTCAGAAGGAAGATTTTTGGAGGTTTTGCCAGGTTTGTTGCTAAGCACAGGAGCTTGTTCCATGCAACAGTGTTTTGTTGGCAATGTAGGGATTGTGCTCCATGGGAACGGTTCATTTAGTAGCTTCTAGAATTTAAAATTGTTTACTGTTTTCAGTACTGTCATCTGGTGGCATCCAAGAGAGTTGTTAGCATTTCTGTAGATAATTGCTGCTAGGATAGAGGCTCTTCAGACCTTTGGATATTGTTAGATCACACAAAAAGCTTCATTATTTTCATTTTGGAACTTGTGGCTTAATTCTATGTGATGTCACAGTACCTCATCTTAAAAGTAAAAAGCTCTTGAAAAAAAATATTTGTCATCCCACTGAAAGCTGCTGTTCTGATACGTATAATCTACTCCTGCTGTCTCTGGATCCATTTGTGCTTTTGGATTTGTGTCCCTTTGGTCAGATTAGGCCAGATGATAATGGCTGTGAAAAGTATCTTCTGCCTCACCTTTGGATAAGAGGGACTTCCCTGTTTCTAGCTTTCTCTGTAAGCATACCAGGATTTTCTGGTATTTGCAGGAGATGATGGCAAGGCATGTTTGGTAACTATGAGAAGGCAAACCTTTTCAGGCAACTGAAGCTGCTTGAGCAAAAACTGTTCTTGTGTTAATGTGGATTATTTGGGAACCAGCCGAAGAAACCTGGTTTCCTTGGGGCCTTTTGAAGTTTTGACTCATAGAGTTTATAAGGCAGGAGCTCCAGGATGCATTGCAAAACCTGTCTTGGAATCTTTGGCTTTGCTGTTGGTGGAAATAGTTTGGGTAAACTATCTGCTTTTAAGGAATAAAAAGTCACGTTAATGAGAAATTAGTCTGGTTTAAAAGACCCAGAATACTTACGTAATAGGCTTCATTGTGACTGATTTCGCTATCATGTACCTTTCTAGAGGGTTTTTTTGTGTGCGTGCGTGCACCTTTGTGATAGTTGAGCTCGTTGCTACTCTCTGGTATTGTCAAATCTCTGTGATGCATTGGATACCAGCTTAGATTTGGTAGACAATTACTGAGGCAAGATATGCTGGAGTAGTCTTGTGGTCTCATTGCACGTTTTCCTAATGTGTACCAGATCAAGTTCAATCAGTCTTACAGTTGCATGGATATGTTTTGCTTCAATTAGGAACACATTTTCCTAATTTTTTTCGTTTTCCTAATCAAGTTCAATCACTCTTACAGTTGCATGGATATGTTTTGCTTTCAGTAAAATGAATAATTGTAACTAGGGGTTTGTGCTTGAGTAGCAGAGGGTGGACTGTAAATCACTGGGTAAGTTAAGAGTTTTACTACTCAATTTCTTTTTAGGTACAGAGTGTTTTGAAACCCAGTCACCACAAGGATGGGCAGGAGCTTAATGCTTTGCTGAATGCCCCTCACATGCAGGTAAAACAAAATGGAACTTCTCATCTAATGGATATATTTCGTGGTCCTGTTTTCAGTATAACTTACTTTTTGCAAATGTCTTGGGTGGATTGGGCAAGGATGGATTTTATGCTTCAACTGATCTACTTAATATATGTATGGAATTTCCAGGGTAATTTGCACATAAACAGTGTAGCTGTGCAGATCTCTTAGTATTTTTCTAGATGAGGAGTTTTCATTTTCCAGCAAAAAGTGGAAACTTCTAATCAAGTATAGTGCATGGTTGTATTCAGCCCTTGCTATATTCTACATGTATTACAGGGTAATTTGCACATAAACAGTGTAGCAGTAGATCAGTAGGGTCAGGGCAATGCAAGAACTGCTTTGCTTATCTATGTTTTCTTCTTTGATGGCTGTTTCATGCTTAGCGTAGGGTACATAAAGGAAGTTTTGTCCCATAGTGGTGTTGTAAATCCATGAGTAGTTTTTACTGCAGTAACTTATGTCTGTATCCTCAGTCACATACATAGTAAGCTAATGTCTGTCTGTTTAGGAAGGAGAAGCTGTAAGTGCAGTTGAGTGTTCAAGATTGCTTTTTTTTTATTCTTTTCCAATCTGAAAGGAAAATTTTGGAAAGTATGTAGCAGTAGACACTACATAGCTTTGATTATTTTTTTTTTTAAATTGCTTAAGTCCGTTTGCAGTATTCTGTAACCTGCAAAGACTGTTCAACTTGCAGAATTTCATTGAACTATGCTATTTTGCATACATATAAACTGTGAAATTTTCTGTAATTGAGCTGATTTTGTTTAACACTAGGCACTTTTACTGGCTCATGATAAGGTTGCGGAACAAGAAATGCAACCAGAGTCTGTGACAGATGAAAGAATTTATGAGAATGTTGGCGTATACGGAGGGGAGACAGTTAAAATTGTTCGCATTGAAAAAGCTCGGGATATTCCATTGGTAAGTACTGATATTCAACTATATGTGAAGGAGGTAAGCTTTTTCATCCTTTGCAGGTTGCTATGAAAGCTTTGGAATTTGAATGTGGAAGTGATGCTTAACTTGTAAACAGTCTTCCTCCCTCCAAAATAATTAATAGTCATAGATGATAAACTTGTATCAGTAGCTATACCACCATTTAGAATCTATATAACTTCTGTCAACTTGGTTTTGAACAGGACTTCTTGACAGAGGTCACTATCCCAAATTTTGCTGTAGGGGAGCTTATAGCCTTGTGCCAAACATGGGATTGCGATTGGTTTTTTCTTTTTTCTTTTTTTTTTTTTTTTTTTTTTTGCAACTCTTATCTTCTATTTTGCATCTTTCAAATAAGTGTTTCCTTAGAAAAACATTTTTTTAAAAAATCATGAATCTTACGGTATGGAGCAATTCACTTCTTCAATCTTTAGTGCAGCTTGAAGAAATTAAGTGATGTTTTTTTTAAACTGGAGCATTGGGTGTATGCATCTGAGCTGTTACTTGCATTCTCTTTCAACATAGAAATGTTTCTCCACTGGCTTGCAATATATACAATAGATGGCTTTGAGTTTCATATGTATAATAAATTCAGAATGTGTTGCTACTACACAGGGTGCTACTGTTCGTAATGAAATGGATTCCGTTATCATTAGTCGAATAGTGAAAGGAGGTGCTGCAGAGAAGAGTGGGCTGTTACATGAAGGGGACGAAGTTCTGGAGATTAATGGCATTGAGATTCGTGGAAAAGATGTTAATGAAGTTTTTGACTTGCTGGTGAGTTGGACACTTCTTGTTTTCCCTGCAAAAAATACTCATTTCGTAAGAGAAGCCTGTTGGCTCTGCTTGTCATTTGTGCTCATATTTAGCATTAGTTTAAAACTATTTTTGTTCTTATAGCTAGTGTTTAGATGTGGAGAGCAATTTTAAGTTTTCTTTCTGATGTCTAGTATGATATTAATAAGTTTAATGTCAGGTATTTGCAGAAATGAAGCCTACAAAGGTGGAAGAGTTAAACTACCATCTTGAGACTCATTTTTAGTGATTTATCAGAAAAACTTTTAGTTCTGAAAAGCCATGATTTTTCATCTTTGGTTGAATCTGCAATTGGTATATGTGTGGCTGTGTGATTGTGGTAGCGTCTGGCTGGGATGGAGTTCATTTTCTTCATAGCAGCTTATATCATGCTGTGGTTTAGGCTGGTTTTAGACTGAAACAGTGTTGATAATGCACCCATGTTTTAGCTGTTGCTGAGCAATGCTTGCACAGTGTCAAGGCTTCTATTTCTCCCTCTGTCCCCTGCTTGCAAGTAAGTTTGGGTTGAGCAAGAGGCTGAGAGGGGACACGGCTGGGACAGCTGACCCAAATTGACCACAGTGACCTATCATGTCATATAATGTCACACTGAGCAATAAAAACTGTGTGGTGAGTGAGTGCCTTTGCCTCACTTGTTGGGTTGGGGTGTTTTTCCTTCCCTTACCAAACTGTCTTTGCCTCAACTCATGAGGTTTTTCTTGCTTTTGGTCTTCCGGTTGTCTGCCCTGTCCTGCTGGAGAAGTGAGCGAGGAGCTGGTGGGTGCTTAATTGCTGGCCAGACTTAACCCACCACAAATTGTATCACACAGGACCTTTACATGACTAGACTACTTTCCCTTCTGATATAAAAACCTTTTGTCTAGCAGTATACTGGCATGGACATTTTTCTCTTTATTACACTTATACCATTCATAACAAAATTATGCATCAGCTCAAAAGCAGTTAGTCAAAACAACAGGCAAGAAATCCATCAGGAACTAGTAAATGCAGCGGTACTCTCTCTCTCAAAGGCCCTGTAATGTAGAATGTCAAAAGCTGGGGATTACCAGTATTTTCTGTTGCCCAATATTGCTCTTTTCTCATGCTTTTCCTGGTCACCTGCTGTTGATCAGAGTCCAAGATGGGACACCTGGAACATGGCTATGAATCTTTGGTCTGATTGCAGCAGGCAAGACCATTCTGTCAAAGTGAGAACAGATGAAAATGACATTTTTTTAAAAAGTTAATTTATAACTTTAATACAAAACACTAGAAATATCCACTAGCACTTATTTAATAGGTTCTTTGGGGGGGAAGAAAGGAGAAATACATTTAGTAAGTCTTTGAACTGTAGTAGATCTATGTTCTATAGACAAATCAAAATCAGGACAAAGACCTGGGTTTTGCTGTATTTTGCATTATCGTAGGAAGAATAGGCAGCAGTATCCATAGGTGAAATTGTCTCATGCTATACTAAGACTGTAGTTTTTAATGGACAATTTCCACCTTTAGTTGGTTTTTTTTCCTGAAATTTGCTGTTCAAGTTTTTCAACTAATGCATGGAATGAGGTCAAGCAGAGGGAAGTAGAGGCAGAAATGCATGAGGTTTTGGGGTTTTTTTTAAGCCATTTAAAAAGATTCTTATAGTTATTTGAAAAGCCTTCAATCTCCATGTGTTTTTTGGACCAGAGATATCTGTGATTCTTCACACTCTGTAATTGTCTCTGTTGCCACCTGTGGTGTTTTGGGTTCTTTTTAAAGCCATAGTTAGATAAGTCCTATGCTTCTGAAAAGAGTGGTTTGTAGATGCTTGACAGATAATTCAACTCTGGCAGTTTAGTTCTCTGCAGAGAGCTTGTTCGGCTCTTCAGCAGCTCCTGCAACCTGGAGTTAAAGAATAAAAGACTTAAAACCACCATACATCAACATAGAGCAAATTATTTGCTGAAAATTGGGAAGAAAAAAAGAAGCCTTACTATTTTTTAAAATATATTTTTAAAATCATTAATTTAAAATATTATTTTTAATTCTTTATATGTTGTCTTTTGTATTTTGTAATGTGAAGTGATGTTTTAAAATGCTTTAGTCCCCCAAAACAAAATACTTGAAGCACAGGAGAAGGAAATTACTTTCCTTCTTAATTTTGCCTCACCACTTGCTAAGCAAATGATAATAAAGTGCACATGACTCTAGAGAAGACTATTCACACAATCACTGAAATTCTATGCATTCCCCGTGGAACTATGCGCACTGACTGAAAATCATGGACTTTCCTTTCCTGCAGCTTAATCATGTTATGCTCAGTCATGTTTACTTTATTTAAGCCTTAGGTCTGAATTTTTTGAGATACATGCATACACTTTGAATTTATGCAACATAAATTGTTGTGTTACAGTTCATGGAATGATGTATAGGAAGTGAGACATATGTAGACCTTGGAAAGGTTGGCACTTGCTTTTAATCTAGATATTTGTTGTATGTGCAAACATACTCTGCATATAAGAGTATGCAAGCAAATAAGAATTCTTTAAAGCCAGGACACTTATTATGTTCTACTTTAGTAGGGCTGATTGCAATGCTGATATTAAGTACTTTACAGATGCAGGATTTGAGTATATTAATTAAATTTTTAAAGTGTGTTTTGTATACTTTAATGTTAACAGCATAAAATCATAGTAGAAATGTTTAGATTTGAAACACTGTTCCACTTAAGCAATTTTAGAAAAAAATAATCTTTTATATATTTTTCTTCTTCCCAGCATAGATCCACTTGTTGGTATCCTTGAACAGAACAAGAGAATATTATTCTCTGTTTCTTTTAAGTCTCTGCTTGACAGAATTGCAGCTGCTCCATTTCAAATAGAAATAGTTTATGTATAATAAAGAATGCTAGGCTTTTAAAATGTGAATATCAACATTTGGCTTTCTAGCCTGTCACTGAATCACTGCATCTGTATCTGTACTTTGTCTTTTAAACCAGTTAAGGGGTAGGTGGTGTGCTGTTAGGAACTGCCTTTTATGGGAATTTTTGAAGTGTTTTCTGAAATATGTTATTTATTAAAATTCTCAACTGTAAGCCATATTTTGATACTGTATATAAAAAGTCTATTTTTTTTGTCTCAGGCTGACATGCATGGTACTCTGACCTTTGTATTGATTCCCAGTCAGCAGAGCAAGCCACCTCCTGCAAAAGAGACAGTCGTAAGTAGCTCTGCAGAAGTTCTTGAGCTTGGTGATCATGCCTTGTTTTTCCAGTAATGCGTAGAAAGTTCTTCTGTAGGTCATTTACATTGGGGAACAAAACCAAAACTTAATCATTTAAATTGGTTTAATTGTTACCAGACTAACACCTGATTTAACTGTTGAAAACGATTTATGGTGTTAAGCTGAAATTCTTAGTATGATTTTTAATTCAGTTTCTAAAATGGTAAGAAATTATAAAAGTAGAACTTCTCAAATTCTGTTTTGAAATTCCCGATTTCTCTGTTTTTATATACATAAAAAATAAACTGGGTTGATGGAACTTGCAGATATGCTTTGGGAAGAAAAGTTTGCATATTAGAAACTTTGTTCATTTTCTTTTTAGCTAACAAGCTTTTCTTGAGACAGCTTTAACACTTTGAAGAAAGAATGCACCAATTTATATCACAGTCAAACAAAAACATTAATGGTTGGTGACAAAGTAAAATGTTTTACAAGTGAAACTTCACCTAAAGCCTAGCAAATGGGTTTCAATCTGTATTTATTAGGTATTTTTAACAAATCAGAAGATCTCTGATACTTTTTGAATGCAAAGAACTTAAATCAGTAGTTCAGGGGGGGTTTCCTCCTAAAATGGTGAAGAAACTGCATGTATTTAAGAATTAACAAGAGTTAAATTCAGGCCTTCACCTCCAAACTGGCACAACTGTGTCTGTTCCATTGCTAACCGAAGTAATGATTCCATTCCAGTATCTCCTGTATGCCCCAGATAAAGTCTGCATTTTATAGAATCTTAGAGTTTTTATATATTGGAGCTCCAATGCAGTCACAGGAAGATGAGGTTTAATTCTTCAGAAGTCACAGGGTTTTTTTTCTTCTGTTTTTACATTTGATCTTCCACAGATCCACGTGAAAGCTCATTTTGACTATGATCCCTCTGATGACCCTTACGTCCCCTGCCGAGAGTTAGGCCTGTCTTTTCAAAAAGGAGATATACTCCATGTAATCAGCCAAGAAGATCCAAACTGGTGGCAGGCTTACAGAGATGGAGATGAAGATAATCAGCCATTGGCAGGCCTTATCCCTGGTAAATAAAGTGCTAGAAAAAGCTTGACAGCCAGTCATTCCCATATCTGCAAGAGCAATATTCTGGTTTTCAAAGACTTATATACTCTTAAATATCCATTACCTTAAATATCTGTGACTTTGAACGTCTTGTAACAGGGCCTACTGTTGCTTATGTAATTCACTCACTTAAAAGGTTGACCTTTTAGAGGCATCTCCATGTATAGATGTTAAATGCAGAGTAAAGCTACCACTTCCACTGCAGTTCACTTTGAAGAACTCCTTTTCCTTTATGCCTCCACCTTGGGGACTCTGTGGATTCAGAGTTCCCTCTGCTGGCTGGTTACAGCAGAAACGTGGGACTTCAGCCGCTCTCATCTCCAGAGAACAAGCAGGCTGTTCGGTTTCTTACTACATCAAGTAGTCCGTTTGAAAAATGTATCTTTTTCATGGTAGCTTTTCTGCATGTTTTCACTTAGCAAAGAGCTTCAGTTACTTTTAACAGTTGCACTTCCTTTCTAACTGTCGGGGGCCTTTGAGTAATAGAGTTTTCAGACATTGAAGTCAGTATATAATTTTTGCATTTAAGTATGTACTGCACTCTAGTCCATTAAAGATCTGCTGATGTGTTAAATACAGTGAAAAAGGACTTTTCAAATTCCATAGAATATCACACTGTTACTTTATGACATTTAAGTAAGTTGAGAGGAACACTGATTTAAATACAGGCTAATCTTTTTCAAGCTGAAGTTCAAAAGATTTAGTATAACTAGAACACATATAACATACAAAAAGTTAGAAAACCATATAGTCATAGTGGGGAAATGCAGTCTTTCCATTAGTTTCGATTTTCCAGGCAAAGCTGTCCAGAATAATAGTCTTCAAGAATAATGTTCTTCAAGTCTTTCTTAATGAATATATTTTCGAAGCAATAAACTAGCTATACAGCAATTTTAGTTTCTCTTTTAAAATTCTAATTTTTCTTTTTAAATTTCTCTTATGTCATATTCTACTAGAACTTACAGAGATGTAAAAGCTTAGGAAAAAGTAAAATGAGTAAGTCATTAAAAAAAAATTCTGGAAATGGTTTCTAAATGTTAACTGCTTTTGTACTTTTTTTTATAAATGCATTAAGGAAAAAGTTTTCAGCAACAAAGAGAAGCAATGAAGCAAACCATAGAAGAAGACAAGGAGCCAGAAAAATCAGGTTAGGTATATGCTTTCCAAGGAAAAACATCTAACCCTTTTAGACGTGCTAATTTGTGATATCTGGTACCTTGTCATTGTAGAGTTGTAGAAAATTCTTCAATTTTTTGTAATACAAATGGGATGATTCTTTGAAATTCTTCATGTAAATAATGGCCTGAATTTAGCACGTCATTGTATAAATCATGTTTTTTTCATAAATATGTGCAATGTAATTAGAATGATGTAGGGGAAGTTGGAAAGCCCCTTTTCTTAAAGAATTTTATCTACCATGACTCAGTTGAAGTCCTCGGCATCCAACATTTGCTTAATACACCAAACTGTTGTAATGAATTGAAGAAAAAATTGCAGAATAAATTCTCCACTTAAAGATCCAGATAGTGAATGGGATAAGAAGCGTTTTATTGTATGCATATTTGATTGTAATAATTTTTATTTTGGTTAGGAAAACTCTGGTGCGCGAAGAAGAACAAAAAGAAACGGAAAAAGGTTTTATACAATGCAAATAAAAATGATGGTAAGGAACATGTTCTGTACAGTGTGTGCACTTAAAGCAACTATAAAAGACTCTACAAATAGCCTTGTGAAAAGAATCCTGAAATTCACGATGTGATTTTAGAAATACTGCCTGATGATGCTCTGTTTGGGAGCAGTAGTATGGTTTGTACTAGCATTTAGTGAAAGATGTAAAAGAGGTGGCAGAATTTTTAAGGTCATTCAGTGTCTTTATTAAAGACCAAATGATAGGGGTAAAAAAACAGATAGCTTTTTAGGCATGGAAGCACTCATAATTTTGCAGTGATGAACCAATTTATTATGGGTTTGTAATATCATCTCTCTTTGCATAATTAAGTTTAGTAAATTGAAACTTTCTCCACAGAGAGTTTGTAGGCTTTTTATACTATATTCTTATAAAAGTACTTTGGGATTGGGATAATGACTTTTTTGTTGTTGGGCATGAAGTTTTATTCTTGTACTAGAAACTTGTTCCTTGGCAAGAAAGTTATTTCTTGAGTTTATGCTACTACTCATACCAGTAGTAAGGGGAAAGTAAGCACCTCATCTTACTGGGCAAGCGATGATCTTTGGGGTTCTTGCTGAGTCGCAGTTAGATGCTGGGCAGAGAGAGTCGGGAGCCTACTGAACCTTGATACTGCATGATAGGCAGTACGTGTAACTAGCAGTAAAGTATGTTGTGACTACTTTATTGTTTCTCTCTCAAGATTATGACAATGAGGAAATTTTGACCTACGAGGAAATGTCACTTTATCATCAACCAGCAAATAGGAAACGACCTATTGTTCTGATTGGCCCACAGAACTGTGGCCAAAATGAATTGCGGCAGAGACTTATGAATAATGAAGTGGATCGCTTTGCCTCTGCAGTTCCCCGTAAGTTTGACAGGCAGATCCATTTGCTTATTCTAAACATTTTTTTGCAGATAAATCTTCTTGTGTCAAAAATAGCAATTAGGATTTTGGGGGTTTTAAGCAGGATATAGTCAGCTCTTGGATAAAGGACAAATAAAGCTGTGTGGCAAAAAGTAGCTTTGGTAAGTCAATGCAAATCCAATGTCCCAACACAGTGTTACAGAGGCATTATAAGACATGCGTGCATTTTGGTTTGAATAAAATTGGAGTGAGGTACCGGAGTTTAAAAAAGAAACTGGTACATCAGTCAAAGAATTTTTAACCTGCATAAGCTGCATATATTTAAATGTAGGTGGCTTTAGTGCCTTCCCAAACCACTGTATTTCATTGAATTTTATGTTTTTAGTGTCTAATGTACCATAAATTAGGTTTACAAACAGCTTAATGTAACTTGTTATAAACAACTAATAGCTGTTTTCACATCCAGAATGCAGCTGCACAGGTGAAACTCTTTTTTTTTTTTGTTGACTATTTCTTTTTTCTTCTAGATCATGTAAACAAGACCTCTGAATGTAGGTTCAGCCTTTGGAGACTTAATCTGTCTGGGGATATTTATTGTAGAAATTAAAATATTTGCATTTCTTGGATATTTCAAATGGCTTTTTTTTTCTTGGTTGGCAATGTATCTCGTAAGAGAAATACTTATTTCTCCTCTTCAGTTCTACAGGTGTATCACTGCCTTGATTTCTCTTTTGTTGCTCTTGTTTGTAGATACTACTCGGAGCAGGCGAGAGACAGAAGTAGCTGGCAGGGATTACCATTTCATTTCCCGACAGGCATTTGAGAGTGACATAGCTGCGGGGAAGTTCATTGAATATGGAGAGTTTGAAAAGAACCTGTATGGTACTAGTATAGACTCCGTGCGGCAAGTAATCAACTCTGGCAAGATATGCCTTTTAAATCTTCATACGCAGGTATGGCAAAGCTGTTGCATGTCATGTTCTAATTGTAGAAGCTACTGTGAAAATCTAAAGAGCTGAACTTGGTTTACATCAAATGAGTGTGTTTTCAAGGTCCATTTTCATTTTCATTTCAAGTTTTCTTTCAATGGTGTTCAGTTAACTATTTAGTGTGTTACAAATACAGCTTTCTTGTTCCTTGTTTGGAAATACATATATATCTTTTTTTCATTTGTGCTAAAGGTAAGAGGGGCCTTGGTTTCCAGGTACTTAAAGCTGGTGAGAACTATCTGAATTGAACATTTAATTAAAGTAAGATTTGTGAGCTCTGGGTTTTTTGAAGATGGAGAGGAGGTTTGTTGTGGTGATACTTGGATACTGCATTTTGGGAATGTTTATGCAGTTCCGTAAGAGACAGGATTGAAGTACATCATATCAAACAACATTGAAAAGCTCTTTAGCTATGGCCTTATGATTATGGAGAAAGAAGAAACAAACCGTGCATACATACTGCAACTTCAAACTTTAGTTAAATGAGGCAGGAGGCAGAGTACTGGAACACAGCCCATTTTCTTATATATTTTTACATATATATCTATATAGTCTATATATATGCATGAGGTCTACTGGTGTTACAGATGCTGCAAAAGAAGCCTTAAAACTCAGACACGTCAGTAAAGTCTGGTAGTATTGAAGGTATAATTAGCTATCACCAGTTGGGACCATGTGATACTTTACTAGAATAGCTCAAGGGTATCACAAAGCATGTTATAAGTTGAAAATTCATAACATTTTGAAAATTGATCTAATTTTGTGGTTATAAAAATCTGTCTCAGAGACAAGTTGTGTGTCCCGAGACACACAGAAGGAACCTTTTGGAAAAATCAAACTACAGTTTGGTTCTTTTTATTTCCTGTCTCTTAATATAACCTGCCAAAAAAAATATGCTAAACATACAGTACTAGTGTATCTGGTACCTTGTATTTTAATTTTCAAAACAGAAAAGGTTAAACTGTAATATTTAAAGTAAACTGTTTGAAGACTCTTTGTCTTAAAAGCTGATACCATTCATTATCATTGTACGGAAACTTGCCTCAATATAGCTGACTTTTTTGCTTTTGGATACTAAAAGATATGTTGCTTCAGTTTAGTTACTGAAGAATATTCTTGAACAAAAGTAAATGTTTGGGTTCTATGAAGCTGAAAAATGTTGGAATATCAATTTTGTAGGAATAGGTGACTGAACTGAGTGGTGATGCTAATACTGTTATGGTTAATTATACTGCTGTTAATATATTGTACAATTGTCATTGTGTTTGAAGAGCATATTATCAATTATAGTGTGTGAATAATGTATTATTAAATGCCCTTTTCATGTGTGGATCTGTTAAATATTTAATAAATCCTATTTCTGCAGTCACTGAAGACACTACGTAATTCTGACTTGAAGCCATATATTATATTTGTTGCACCACCTTCACAAGAGAGATTACGTGCGTTATTGGCCAAAGAAGGGAAAAACCCGAAGGTAATGTGTCTAACACTTCTGAAACCATGATGCTTTTTGTTTACAGATATGAAATGCTTTTGATAAAGAAATTTGTATACTCTTTATTTGGAATTGGGAGATGGTAATGGTACTGACAACATATGGGAAGCAGCGTAGTTGAGATCTGTGCTGCAGGTTGGCAGGCAGACCATTCTAAATGAGGGGCTCGGGATGCTTTCACCTGACTGAATGTGAGAGGTGTGAGGCAAGAAAATCCACTGCTAATTCAGTAATCCTGGGGCGCAATGGCTCAGTTGGGGTCCCTGCATTTGGGTGCAAAACTATGACCTTGTATTTCAAAACTCTGCAAAATTCAACTTTGTCTTCAAGCAAACCTGAGAGTAACTCTAGGGAGCAAATTATTATTGTTTTTATCTTGAGAATTTATCTGCCCTTGGGAAAAGCATTTACTTGAAAATGTATTCCAAAATTCTTCAGATAAAGTTATTTTATTGCTTGATCTTGTAGGATCACTTCTCATGTTTCAAACAGTATTAGGTCAAGATCTCAGCTTATCCAGTTCAGACTGCTAAACTAAATGAGTAGTTAGTTCTGCAGAATGAAATTTAAACCCATAGGTTAAACCAGGATGTCTGAAAGCTAAGAAAAGGTCCTTATCAGCTTATGAGATACAAAGTGCTTATTGCTAGGATAATGAAATATGTTGATCTTCAGCTTTTTAACTGTAAATCTACTCTACAGTGGTTGGTGGGAGCATTTTGCCACCTTAGCGTCTTCAAAGCACTAAGTGAATATATTGCAGTTCATAGGGAGGAAGAACAGTTGTCCCAGTGTGAATCAAAGGGACTCCTGATATGGCTGTTGGTCAGCAATCGTACCTGTGTTCTACAGCTGTGGTGTTTTGCTCTCCTTGTTTGATGCAAGGGTGATGTATTGCCTGGATGTAAGATCCAGAAGTCCATTAAAGTCCAAGTTGTAAAACACAGGGATTTTTTTCTCTTTTTTTTCGTATTTTTTTTTCCCCTGAGTCAATATGGGCATGTTTCCTCCTTCCTGGTTATGCAATGAATGAAGCTTTATTTTACATAAATACTTAATCTTATGTATGTCCTTTTTTTTAAATTGCAGTAGTCAAGGAATCCATTTGCAATAAAAATGAATACACTATTACTGGTGTTAAACTATGCCTATTTTCTGATTAATCGTATCGGAGTTGTGTTTATTTCTGTTCGGTAAACACTACTGTGTTAAACCCCTTCCCCTGATGAAGAAAATAGTGTTTCTTGTATGTATGTCTGTATGTGGCTTCGATTTTTCTTAAGTGTATATAACCTGTAGGCAAAAAAACCTTGAAGGCCTGAAGTTGCTTTTGAAAATATCCTCTTTAGAAAATTATCTCAAAAATTGTATCTGATAATTCCTTTACATAATACAAAAACAAGCTGCAGAAGAAAAAACCAAACACTTTTAGAATCCAAGTGTAAAAAAAAATGTTCTGAAGTAAAACAAACCATTCTTCCTTTGCATCATTTATCTACATGTGTGATATTCTTGCTTTTGACATACTCCCTTCCAGCACCCAAATCGTGTTTTCCATTTTTCTGCAATGTCATTTACCTGATACTATGGTGATTCGATCAACTTAAACTTATAGCTCTCACTGTCGTTCTCATTGCTGTTTATTGGTGAAAATATTTCAACGATAGCTGTTGCATTTGGCTGTTTGGTGTTTGTAGCGCTACATCTCCAGAGGAATGTTGTCTTGTTCTACACCATTCAAACTTTCTCTCAGACTATCTCTGCCATCTCCAGTCCTTTGCAGAAGGATAACGGGCTTAGCAACCTAACTTATTTTTCAGAAATGTGACTTAAGCGCCTCAGATGAATATCATAAAATGAGCGTGCTAGATCATTGTCATTTACTTCAGTCTGTGAGAGTTATTTACTGTTTGTCACTTATGGCCAGTCAGAAAGGATTGTCTTGAGTGCCCTTAGCTTTCAAATACGTATTGTCGTTCAATGTTATTGTAAACTTTTCAATAGCTGACAGCAATACCATGAAAATTTGTGTAGAAGACTTCTGAGTCGCGTTGTTACCTTTCACTACTCTTGTTGGTGGGGGAGAGGCTTACACACATACACTAACTCTCTGGTTTTGATTACAGCCGGAAGAGCTGAGAGAAATCATAGAGAAGACAAGGGAGATGGAACAGAACAATGGCCACTACTTTGATACAGCAATTGTGAATTCTGATCTTGATAAGGCGTATCAAGAGTTACTTCGGTTAATAAACAAACTTGACACAGAACCCCAGTGGGTGCCCTCTACCTGGTTACGATGAGAGAGCAATTCCAAGGGACAAATGGACTTCAATCTAGTACTCTTTCCAAGGACATCGTGTGTAGGTCTGCCCAATTCCAGTATAAATGTGTGTGAGCTCTAGACCTCAGTGGCTGCATCCTTTGCCAGTGAAATTGCGTATTATTGAAAAAATACGCTAAACAGCTTGTGAGCCGATTTAACTGATCTAAAGATTGACCAAGTTTTCTTTCTCGGTGGTCTAGAAATGGAGACCTTGACTAAATTCTAAAGCTTTAGATAGATTTTTCTAGCAACTACTTTTATACATAAATCTACCTTTTTTTACCTAGAATCACCCTTACGAAATCAAAGATTTAAAGTGTGTGTGTGTATATACAGTCAATGCTGTCACATAGTTATAAATATGAATGTTATTTAACACTTAACTTAATGACTTTGTGGGACGTGATGGTAGTTCAGGAGCATAATTCTACAGATCATTGGGCAGAGAAATAATCTACACATGAAAAATGTTAATATTAATGAGAAATTTCTCCTGTTCAAAACATACACAGAATGAAGATGCCGCTCTGGTCTTGGAGCTGCCCTGTGAAGCTTGAGTTAATATTTTAATTCTCAAACATTCCACTTTCTAATAGCACTGTAATTGGAAAATGTGTATAATGTAAATATTTCAATCCTTGTGTCTTTTTAGTCAGACGTTTAAAATCAGATTTGACTGCACAATAATTTTAGGTCCAATCAAAGATGAATATTATATTGATCTTTTAGATGTGATATTTTTATGGATTTTTCTTTAAAACATATTGACTGATTGGAGCGGCTGTTTTCTACAGATCTTTAGAAATTTAGAAAAGCAGAGGTTATGTTTTTGTGAAAAATATATAGTTATAAGACATGCTGCTTGAAAGTCAACTTAAGTTCTCATGTTTTATAACAGAATACTGACTAAAATAGACTGCTGTGCTGAACATTGGAAGATAGTGCAGTTTTTTAATCTCTGCAAAAGGTTTGTCTTGTGGCTGTTGGTCTAATGGATAACTAACTGGAATTAAAATAGCTGAATGTAGCTACTGTTTTATAAATTAGTGTTGTAATACACTAGCCAACATATTGCCCTGCGTTTGCTTAGTACTGCAGTGAAAGTATGTGTAAAACACTGGTAACTGACTGAGAAGTCACAAGAAAGGGGAATATTTGTAATTGTTACAACAAACAAAAAACTTGAAACAAATGAACAAAAGGCAAGGTCTATCTGTATCCTAGTATGGTCTGCAAAGCACATCAGAACATCTCTGCATCTTCAAATGATTCTGAGCTGTGAAGATTTAACTACTAAGGCTGTGCATCTGCAGTAGGGCTGTTCTGTCACTGAAGCTAACTGAATAGTAGTATCTTGGCTGTTCTGCTCTTGGGTAGCACAAAGAACCTTGACTGTGAATACCTCTTAATTTTAGCCATAGTGTTTCTTTGTTCCTACAGGTAAAACACTGGAGTTATGTCAATGTGTAGTTCACGCCTGTCTAATGTCGAAGGATGAAAAAGTAGTTGATTTTTTCCATTCTCTCATACATATATTCTTTCTTCCAACATTAATGGAACAAATTCACACCCGTAGTTAAATAGAGAGCTCAAAGTATCCAGCAGATACAAAGAAATTTTCAGATAACTTTCCTAGTTACTCGACTAACACTCAGTACATTTTTGTATTGAAAAATGAAAGTATAGAGTGCATTCGTGTCTTGTTAGAAAGCAGAATTATTTGCTGGTTTAATTAGTATGTAGGGCTGAAAAGCAATTAAACAATTAGTGGGGATACGTAATGACCCTTCAGAAAGAAATGAGGTTGGAAACTTTAATATCTTTAGTTCAATTCAGTGTTAGAAATAATAATGTGCTAGCTGTTGGCCTAAGGGCTGGATATATAAAATAATGGCTTTTTGCCTCACATTGCAGGCACGTTCTCAGTTTAATCCATAGTTTATGACAACTACAATGTTCAGGTATATTGGATAGTCAGTGACAAAATATTGTATCAATTCTACCCTTTTTTAAGAAAGATGATTGTAGATGTATTAGGTTTTTTGGTACTGATTGTTTCGTAGTTGGACAAGAAGGTGGAAAGCAGTAAAAAGCATTTGTTAAGGTAACCTGGCTCAGCTACGTGGGTACTGTCCAAATTCTTGCAGTCACAATCAGCTCAAGATGGTTGCTGAATCGCCTTAGGTATTCCGTGTTCACAGGCAGCGTCAGTCACAGTAAATCACGCCATTAATGTATTTGACTGTTTGTCTCCCCAGTTTTTCTGAAACAGTGTACAGAAGCTGTTTTTACACAAATAAGTTTTTGAATGTAGACTTAAAGAATGTTGTTTGAAGTTCAGCTGTACTCCCTTAATTCCCAAGGCATACGGTACTCACTGACATCCATGTAGAGAGGTGCTATAACCAATGCTAGCTTTGTCTCCTGCTGGAAGGAGAGGCTTGAGCAGCACTGAGAAATGAACCTGGCTGTCCATCTGCTGCCAGTTTGGAACTACCTTGTGTAAGAAATTATTCTGCCTTCTTTGAACAATGTGTGTTAAGTCCCTTGAGAGTAAAAGACAGTACGCAAACTTCACTGGTGAAACTCTTCAACCTTATCACAGGCTTTGTAGTGAGCTGTATCAGAGTGAAATGAGGGTATCTGCATTTTTACCAGTCCAGATTTAATTAAAAAAAAAAATGTTAGCCGAATTGCATAAAACAATTTTTGAATGTAATTATATGTGACTTTTTAAAATATAAGATGGGGTTAATGCCTTAAATAATTAAGGTAACTTTACTGAGACCTGTGGTTAGCCCCACATTGTACTTTTATACTTGTATCTGCACTCTGTATTTTCAGACATCATGAACTGCACACTAATGTAAAAATGTAAAATATTTCTAGATTTAAAATAAATCACTGTACAATTTTACTTATTGTAGTGGATCTTGGGAGTCTTCTTTCTGCCAGTTTGCTGAATGCGTGAAAGATGCTGTGACCCATCAATGCCCCAGAGGACGTTCTCTGTTCCTTCTGACACCATGCATCCAGTGGGAGAGGTAACATGTCCTCAGATCCAGTTTCTCTCTTTCAAGCTGGACTTGTATCATGTATCACACAACAGAGTATGGACTTACTATTCAGCTGTGCTGCCTTCAGCTTCAAAAAAGAAATGGCCTTGTACTTCATACAATTATAAAATGACTTTTTAAAGATGTTAATAGAAATTAATTTCTTTGCAGTTACCCTGCATCTGCAGTTAAGCACTGGATCATGTTTAAAAGATGCTAACCTTGAAGAGACTAGTAGTACTATACACAACATACTAGTGTTATTGCTATGGGGTGTGTTCAGTTTGCCAATTGCAGACCCAGGTCTTTAGAAAAACAGCTCTTCAAACTGAGCAGCATTCAGCGCCAGCCTGCTTATCAGCCACTGTCCTAATCTCCCCTAACAGCAAAGGATGTGAAGAAGCACAGCAACGATGGACTACGGTACATTCAACCCCACCTTGCCAACCAACTGGCTGCAATGAAGACTTGAAGCAACATGTAGCTGGATAGTTGAGGAGACTTTCTATGTGTTTCTAGCAGGAGGGAGCCGCTTCTTCTCGGTTACTTACCTAAAGCAGTAAAGGTTAAGTGAATGGTGGGCACAGGCTGAAAAGAGATGTGCCCAGTGTGGATTCTAAGTTGCGGGTAGGGGATGAAGCAAAGGTTTTATTTTGAAATCAACATGACAAGCTTTTAAGACCACCATCTTCTAGCAACTTGAGCCAGACAGCAGATACTTAACATTTAAAATTTTTACTTGTTTCTAGCACAGACAGTACACAAGTTGGCAAACCTCTAATTAAAACCATAGATGTTTTAAGCCAATGGTAACAATTGTGCAACAAAAATAAATCACAGAAGACTGTGGATTTCATCAACAGGTTAGAAAACTAGAATTTTCTTTACTGACATCTGATGTCAGCTGGACCAATACCTGCTTTAATCAACTTGAACATTAATAGTTCAGCAGTAAAGAACATTACATGCATCTCCCCCCCTAAGTAACATTTTCCTCTGCTTGCACTAGGAAGGGGAGCAATTAAAGAGGAACCTGATTAGACAAATCCAGAGCCATCCTGCAAAAACCACAGCTATGGACAGTCATTTCTACTAAGTGAAGAAACAGGCTGAATGCACTGTAGAAGGTTTTCCTGACAGTAAAGCACCTGATTTATCTCTCCTTTTCCTCCTCTGCTGCAGTCAAGTTCCCAGATTTCTAATCTCCCAGGAGAAATCCACAACCCATTCAATTCAAGACGTATACACCAACTGAGAAGCCACAGAAGTATCTTTGAGGCAACATGTCCTGAATTATATTGCAATTGGACATTCTGTATTCTGGGTCCCCTGCTCCATATACAACAATTGTGTTGGGTTACTCAAAGAGAAGGTCTTCATCCTTCTCTTCCGCTAAGAGATTGGCTGGTTCGTGTTCCCCACCAGCAGCCCTCCGCAGCTCCCGTTCTTTCTCAGATTTTTCTTTCAATACTTTTTTCTTTTCCTGGATCTTCTTTAACCTGTGAAGAGAAATGTGGTTTTTCTGTGAATGTAGCATGATGTTTTCATAAAACAAGCTAGCAGCAAAGATGCCATAAAACTTGGGTATGGTAAAGCTGACTGGAGAAGTCCCCCTGGAAATGCAAATCCTGTAACAAATGGCAAAAGGCTTTTATAGCTAGCTGCTGCCATTGAAAAACTTGATCTCTGCAGATGAATGCATTTCTTCATCCAAACGATAAATATGTTCTTGACCTTAAGCACTACTCTGCTTGTCTCTAATGAAGTTAATTCTCCTTTCATTCATTTCAGGTCTGATATTTTTTGTTTCAGGTAGCCGAGAAGTGGGCTTGGTGTGGCAGAGGTGTCCTTAAAGCAGAACATCTCAGTGTACTGTATCACATCATCCTCTCTGGAGGAATGATAACAGCAGCTATGTACATCCTAGTGGTAGGGATTCATTTCTAACTTTCAGACTAGTAATTGCAAATCTCCAGGTGTCCAGCTCTGGAAACTCAATGTGCAGTAAGAACTAGGTCATGTTTAAGTGTTTGCTGCCAGATGTAGCGAATAGCTCTAAGTCCCTTCTGAGGAATGGTCTATTTGAGAAAAAGAGACCAGTCTAGTCTTGGTTTAGATATTTACCTGTAGAATTCCTCTCGCTCTCGTTCATCCAGTTCTGTGATGATATAAGAAAGAGTACGCTCAATCCTGGGAATAATCACTAGAAAAATATAAATAAGGAAGTTGTTGGACTGCTGTTATATTAGCCAGGAAGTTCTCTAATACAGTACACAGATGGTTGTTTAAAGTCAATCTAGTGATTCTTATGGCTAGGGGAAATTTACATGTCTTTCATGAAAGAT